TCTTAATCCCAGCATCGCAAACCCTAATCCAGCCACTTTTGAAACTCCCCACCTTTGACCACATGCTGGTCTGAGTGGGACATCTAGATACAAGGCTATAATACCTGGTATCCAAAAGGAGAGGGAAGGGGCTGGGGATTTAGCTCAGTGGCACAGTGCCTGCCTGGCAAGCACAAGGTCATGAGTTTGATTCCTGGTACCGGAAAAAAACTAAAAAAAAAACTAAAAAAAAAAAAAAAAAAAAAAAAAAAAAAAAAGACTGCAAGTAGGTTTGGGCTGGGGATATAGCTCAGTGGCATAAGTGCCTGCCTGGCACATGCAAGGTCATGAGTTCAATCCCTGGTACCTCAAACAAACAAACAATAAAAGATGCCATTCAAAATGAGAGGGAAGAAGGTGACAGGCAGAAAGAGGAGAGCTAGTCAGGCAGACTTTAAATAGCTGAAGAGAAAATCTGTTGTGTCTCAGTTTCATTGTCCATTGCCTTTTGCTCTGGTATTTCTGTGACTTGTGAATTGTAAATTTGGCTTACATTACTTTTACCTGTCCTTTCTTACTGCCTGAGGAGAGACAGGACCATAAAGGATAGATTTTAACCCTCCTATAACCGGCTCTAAAACTGCTCATATTATTTCATCAGGAGTTTGAAGGAAAAGATATGTCACTCAAGGGCTAGAAAAATTAAGACTTGCCTAGTACTCTACAGCAGATCTCTTATAAGTGAGTTTAAATCCTTTATACTGGCCACCCACATGAAATAGAACTATGCCCTCTTATTTCAGAATTTTGAATATAAAGTCTCACTGTCTTCTCCAGCAACATCCTGAATATGACATTCTTCCAAGAAGACTACTATAAAAATTCATCTAGAATGTTGGGAATTGGGCTGTTAAATTCTTAGATCTAGCTTCTCATTCAATATGATAGATTTTCTTTGGTATTCAAGAAACTGATAAATGAACATTTCATAAGTAAGCTTACTTCGGTCTCCCTGAGTTGCATACCAGTTTGTTCGTGTTCTCTGAAAGACTAAACTAGCTTACCTATAATTATTTTTCAGATGCCTTAGTCCTACCTCCCATCTTTGATCCTAAGAATTCATTTCTACCTCTGACTTTGTTTCTTCTCTGCAAAATGACAAAGCTTTCTTTGTTCATTCTATAGTGTTGGAAAATGGTGTGTGTGGGAGACACTAACCATTTGTTAAATATCTGTTACTTTGCAGGTACCATGATAATAACTTTATGTATACTGAGTCATCAATACTCCCAACCCAATTTGACTGGTGGTATTACTCCCATTTTACTGAGGAGAAAATTGAGACTGAAAAAACTTCTTTGCCCAAAGGTCACACAGAGAATAATAAAACTAGCATTTGACTCTAGAGCACTCTGGTGAATGTGCTCAACCATTTTACTATCTGACCTGGTATAAGCTTGTATTTAAGAAAGCACTTAGTAAATTTTAATTATCCAAACATCTCAAATGTTTTTCTTTAGCCTTTTTACCTCCAGGTGAAGTCTTCTCCATATCACTCCTTTCTTTACTTTTTTTGACTATTCTTTGATGAAATATCACTTCCCCCACCATAGGATTTGTCTATTTCATGGAGTAGCACTTTTCAATGCCCCTTTTAAAGTGTAGTAACTACAGCTCAAAGTCATACCCACAGAGACCTGCATTTCACAGTGCTTCTCCAGCTCAATACGTGTATGTTCTACCAGTTTTTCAATCTAGAAAACTAATTGTGCTTGAGATGAGTAGGTCAAGAATCTACTTCCTTTAATTAAGTAATTAATAATTGCAGTACTGAGGATTGAGCCTAGGGCCTTTTTTCTTTCTTTCTTTCTTTCTTTCTTTCTTTCTTTCTTTCTTTCTTTCTTTCTTTCTTTTTCTTTCTTTCTTTCTCTCTTGTTGAGACAAGGTCTCACTATGTACTTCAGGATGGCATTGAACTCACAGTGATCCTCCTGCCTCATCTCCTGAGTGCTGGGATTACGGGCATGCCCAACCATACCTGGCCCAGGGTTTTTGCACTGAGTTGTATCTCCAGACCTTTTTAATATATTTTTTTAAAATTTTGAGACAGGGTCTTCCTTAGTTGCTAAGGTGCTTGGGCAAGGTCCTGGAATTACAGGCATGAACTTGTTGGGGAACCTCAGCCCAGGGTAGGCAAACACTCTACTACTAAGCTACATCCCCAATTCCCAAGTTCAGTATCTTCAGAAGTGTTCATCAGGAGAATATTGATTTGATATTGACTATTTCACTTGCCAGGAAAAGCTACCATAACCTAACTGTATTTTAGGGCCTCTGTGGCCTGAGATATAAAATGTTTGGTGTTTATAAGCAGGACAGGAATGGTCTCCTTTGGAGCTCCAGGGGCACATTGGTTAGTGCATGGTACTTATACAGGAATGGCCTCTTTTATCTGGAGAGTTAAACTCTGAAGTAAAATTTCCCAATGCTGAAGATCTTGAGTGGAAGTAGTATGGTCACAATGAACTCTGTCAGTTTATCTGGCACCTGCTCTCATGCTGGCTAATAGATCCAGGAGCCTAATGTAATGACAAGATTAATAAATGAAACCAGACGTTGTTTTTTTTTTTAGCTGTTAAAGTTTTTCGGGCTCTAAATGAAAAGAACATCACTAAGTTTATTTTCTTTACTTTTACCTTCTTTTTCTATCTTTGTCCAAAATCAAATAAAAAGATGTTTCTATTTCACATAAGAATGCTTTTCTTTTCAGGAATAGTTGAGAAAAAGTTATGTGCAGTAACAGCTGCCTAACATATTTTTCTATTAAAATGTCATTTGTAGCCAGGCATGGTGGCACACGCCTGTAATCCCAGCACTCAGGAGGCTGAGGCAGGAGGATCGTTTTGAGTTTGAGGCCAGCCTGGGCTACAAAATGAGCTCAAGTTCAGCCTGAACTGCATAGCGAGACCCTGTCTCAAAAAGACAAAAAAAAAAAAAAAAAAAAAAAAAAAAAAAGTCATTCATAACAGTTTTTTTTATGGGTGATGTATGAACAGAGGAATATAGTTGATGAGTTTGCTTAATATAACCAATTGATCACAAAAGCAAAGATGGCTCCATTATAAAAATAAAGTCTCAATATAAAGAGCACCTTTCTAGGGACCTTTTCTTAACTCCATAGCTAAGGTAGCTTGTCTGTCACTTCTTCCCTGCTATTCCAAATAGCTGCTGTTTCTTCATTCATGTTTCTATCAGACAATTCCTTGGTTTTATTTGCTTATTACCTATCTGCCTTCCCTTGTAATGCAAATTCTAGGCCTTGTTTTATTAGCCCCAATGCACAGAACACTGCACATAATAGGTATGAAGCATCTGCTGAATAAAATAACCCATTTTTTAAAACAGCCCATTACTGAATAAAATAACTCATTTTTAAAAACAGTACATTACTGAAATCCTAGCACTCTAGGAGGCTAAGGTGGAGGACTGCATGTTTGAGCTCAGCCTGGGTAGCTTAGTAACTTAGCAAGGCTCTGTATCAAAATGAATTTTAAAAAGGCTTGGGATGTAATTCAATGTGAAAATCCTGGGTTCAACCCATGGTACTATAAAAAAAAGCCACAAAGATCTTGTTAACTATTTACACTAGTTCACTAATTATATTCTTTTGATTGTCTTGGTGTTTATTCAGGTTGTTGTTCAGTCAGTCAATATGTATTTCATGTATTCCCCTTTTCACTGTAGGTTTATTTACTTTTGCATATAATTCCAATTCTGTCTGATTATGCTATATTATAGTGAAGAGCATTCAACAATAAAGCAGTGTTAGGGGTGAGGTCTGCTATAATTAGTGTCTTGTTGATAAAGTAAAAAGGTATGTAGACTCATTTTTTTTTTTAATGATTTATTTCTCTTTATTTATTTATTTTTTTACTTTTTTCAGTGCCAGGACTCAAACTCAGGACCTTGCACTTGCTAGACAGACACTTGTGCTACTGAGCTAGAGCACCAGCCCTTGTAGACTCATTTTGAAAGAAATAAATTAAGAATGATTATAGTGTCTTTTTTCAAAAATTACATTACTGACATGGTTTCTTGAGTAGGAGATCCAGAGGTGGAATGCCAGAACTTGTTCCCAACTTTGAATACCCTAAAACAAGTATGTTGAGAAAAAATACTGGGATATATTCCCTGAAGGCACCTTCTGTGTCTGCTGCCTGGGCTAAGAGAAGTGAGATAAAAAGGAATGATCCACCATGGACTGCACCTGTGAAACCCTATTAACTGGGCTTACCTATTAACTAGGTTGAGGCTAAAGTGTGTGGTTAAGGCCGATGAATAGGTGGGAAATAGTACTGGGTCTTGGGTGATGAAAACCAAAGGGGAACAATGTTTTCTCCTGGGAATGTGCTGTAAAAAGGTTGATCTTAGCAATAATGTTGGCATTTTCCAACGGGGAGAGCAGAAATCACCAATGAAGCTGCTTAAAGTGTAGAAAAATTATTTCATATTACAAACCTTGGGTGATGAAAAACAAAGGAGAACAGTGTATTTCTTTGAGCTGTAGGAATCACATATCCTCATATCTTGGCCTTGACATGGTTGTGAAATGTGTTTGCATTAAAGGAAAAATTTATAGAGAACTCTTGTCCATGTTGACTAATTTAAGATTGACTTGTTATTCATACATCTTTTTTCAGACTGTGTGGGTATGTGTGGTTTTCTGCTTACACTGCAAAAGAAGTTTGGCACTAGTGCAGGTTCTGGTTATAAAACCTAAACTATCAACGAGGACAATAACCTTTACCAATGTCATGGAAAAATGACTTACCAATAACAGTTAATATAATCTAGGAGTTGACAAAGATACTTTGCTTTATCCTTGTGAAAGATTTATTTCTTAATGGAAGTCAAATATATCTAAAATATCAGAGTGCAAATACTTCCATAGCAAATGTACCTAAACACCAAGTGTTTTCATTAGGGGGACTACGTGGGCTCAATAAATAGACTAGAAAGTATTTTGTTTTACAGTCACACATTTTATTACAAATTTATTTTGTACCCAATATAAAAGCAGATTTGGAACCTATTTACAAGTACTATATATTTACATGTATACAGTTAATGAATTTAAGGAAAATGGGCAGAGAAACACAATATATATGGAAGACTATGCCACTGTACATGGTTTATTATTATCTTTAATGTCACTGAATCTTTACTGTAATAAATACAGTTCTATATTTACACATCTTATAAAACATCTCATAAATGTATTTTTTCACTTCCAAGTTAAAACATTTGATCAAAATAAACATGCTTATATAAAAATAAATCTACCTAACAGCCTTTTTGTTTGGGCGTAATGAAGCCAATGTAGGATAATAGAAGTTAAGAATTAATCCTTTGACTTTTCATATTTTTAAAATTGTCAAACACATGTATTGATATGGAATAAGCAGAGAAGTAGTGTTTCTCATGTCAAGTGGTTGATCCAGAAAGAACACAGCTGAACCATGCTAAATAAACAGGATAGTATGTTCCCAAGTCCTGCAGAGTCCAAAGTGGTGTCATACATAGTTGCTAAAATTCTAGAGAAACATGTTTGAGAAGTTACATCAGTGGACTTAATTTATGTCATATCTGTATTTGATCATTATCTTAAGATATGCATCAATTTGAATTAACAATAAAACCTCTTGCAAAAAATGTGTATTCACTCAGGAATAAAATATCCCACATTGATTGCTACCTTTTCTAGGTTATGTCCATTGCCAGCAATGAACTTTCTTTCTGAGCTATGGACAGCAAAATAATTAAAAATGAATGAGATAAGACAAAGTTCATCAGCACATGACTGCCTTAGTAGCAATTTAGGAATTTCTGTTAAGTTTCCTTTCAAAATATTTGTAACCAGTTTTATTCCACTGGGAAGAGGAGGCGTGGAACCACTGAATGCTGTCATAAAATCCAGTATCTCTAAAAAATGATATGAGTACAAATGAGTTAATACTGCCTTACAATCTTTACACATTAAAGATATGGTGACTTGGATGGATTCTTTCTGGGAAAATGCAATAGAAGACTAAAACATCTCCACATGGTCACTAAAATGAAATCTTATGGTTCACAACATTTACTTAGTAATACAGGCCATTTACAACCTATATTTTCCTAATAACTAACCATCTTTAAGGAAGTTGGGGGTTTAAATAAACCCATTTTGAAAGCGAGTTCTCCCACCCCAAACGACTACCTTGGAGAATGGAATTAAAGTCATGGAGAACCTTTTTTGGAAGAACATTTCAGTATGCTTTTTGGATCTGGGGTGACATAAATCATGCGACTGATCTACGTTTTAGCTGAATGAATTCTACAAGCAGCGTGTAGGTTTATAATACACTCTCAAGTACCAATAGGTTTCAGCTTTTTCACACTGACAGAGATTTTTTTTGGCTATTAAACCAAGTTTCAACTCAGTCGTTTTAGCTACTGCTCTTGATGTCCTCAGTCTCACATTTTCAGGTTTCTAATTTTTGAAAATTGTCCCCACCCATGTTAATTAGAGACATGGGACAAATGCCACAGATGAAAGATGACAGCTTTCGGTCATGGGATAAGCTGGTGGTGTCCCGGAATCAGAAGGCAGGTCATAGGCTATGCTAGCACTAGTGAAGGTTACCAAGGCTTGGGTTGAGTCACAAGACTGTTTCTCGACATCGTCAGAATTAATAGACATCAGGCTTGGGTGTTTCGATCTCATCCAAAAGTGGGTTTGCTTTCCCATGCTCCCAAGGTCCTCCTTAAAATGGGGATTGAAGAGGATGTAGAGCAGAGGATTGAGACACGCAGGAAGTGGCACAATCACTAGAAGGATAAACTTGATTATGTCAGGACTGATGAATATGAGGTTTAGTAAAGAGGAGAAGGACAAGAAAGCCACAGGGCAGTAGAGAATACAGTTGGTGAAGAGCAGCAGAGCGATGTGTTTCACCATAGAGCAATCCCACATGTTCTCCAGGTCTCCCTTCTCCAAACTGCAGTAGAGCTTGGTGTAGGCAATGGTCATGATGAGGAAGCAAAGAGAGTTGAGTAGGACCAGAGCTACCATGAAGCCTGTGGTGCTAGGCTCCCCAAAGGGCAGGGGCAGGCAGAGTGGGGAGGCACTGTACTCACTGCCACCCAGCAGGGGAACCACGGCAATGGTCAGAGCCAGCAGAACACAGAGCAGAATGATCGCTTTCAGGGTAGAGAAAGGAGTTTTCATTTCAAATTTTGTAGGACACTTTACAGAGAACCCACGCTCCAAGGCTGCCAAAGTAAGCAGGAAAACAGATGATTCTGAAGCAAAAATGGACAAAAAACCGATTACTTGGCAACCAACGCCAGTCTCCCACCATGCACCGTGTTGTGCAAAGCTGCCAAAAGTGAAGGCATCCACGCCAGCCAACACAGTGCTGGAGACGCCCATGAGCATGTTCACCAATGCGATGACTCCGATTAACAGCTTTATGGAAGAAATGTACAGAGAGGATCTGAACACCGTTGAGGTCACCATGGCATTACAAGAAAGTGCCAGAACTGCTATGGTCCACACTCCGATTCGGATCAGCCAGCTACCGAACAGATGGTCACACGGCCTGAAGGGGCCTGAAAATCCAAAGGCAAGCACTGTGTCAAAATGGGATTAGCTATTTTTGCCACATTACCCTTTTGGTTTTTCAGTAGGACCCCAAGAGACACAGCCCAGTAACAGCCTTCATAACTCATAGCGCCATGCGGAGGGCTCTGCTTTCTCAGACTCCCACGGATCACCTCGGAGTCTCTGCACCACTGCAAGGCAAGCACACCAGATGCTGGTGTTGCCAGAGCACACTCAGAGAACTGAAAGAGGGGAGCTTCTGTTGCTGGATTATTGTCTCCAAATTATAGCAGTGTCAGGTTCACACAAGCAGCCAGATCACCTAGATTTTTCATTGTGTCTACAGCATGCTTCAATCACGTTTCACAGGCAGAAAAAGAGAGTCCTTGGGAAATATTGCATAACTTTAGAAAATGAAATATGGGTGTTATGAATATATATTTCATGAAAATCTCACCTTTGTTTCTTTGTGTTAGATTAACATTTGCTGTTAAAGAATGCTGTCATTTGGATCTTTTTTTTTTTTTTCCATTTGCATCTCAAATGTACCTCAAAGACCCACATGTTAAAGGCTTGGTCTCCAACCTGTGGCCTCACCGGCAGGTGATGGAACCTTCAGGAGGAGGGACCTAGAGGAGGAAGTTAGATCCTCGGAGCTGTGGCCTGGAAGGGGACAGCGTGACTCTGAGCTCTCCTCTGATTCTTTGTTTCTTTGCCTCCAGGAGGTGAACAGGCCTCCTCCTTCCTAGGTTCTCATTCTGATGCTCTGTGCGGCCAATGTGGCCAAGCGACCACGGACTAAAACCTCAAAACCATGAGCCAAAATAAATCTTTTCCATTTTAAAGTTTGTTATTTTGTTACAGTAACAGAACTCTGACGCAAGGAACATGGAACAATCTAAATTTCAAACATAAATATTAACTATTCCCAACTGTTTTTTTCATTTTGTTTCTGGGAATGGGACAATTAAGTGAATTTAGTAGTCTTTCTTTCTTTCCTTCTTTCTTCTTTTTCCTCCTTCCCTCCCTCCCTTCTTCCCTTTGTTCCTCTCTTCCTTCCTTCCTTCCTTCCTTCCTCCCTTTGTTTTAACTTCTCTGTACAAATTGCTTTCACTAAATAGTTATTTACAGAGAAGACTTAAATCACTTTCATAAATCAATGATTACATAAAGCAAGACTATGTAGCATACTATTTCAGGCTACACTGCTAATATTGCTTTAACAATTACATATACCTTTAACTACACGCTTGATTCTTTAGTTTCTATTAATCGGGATGAGAAGCCTCCCCCCAGTCTGTTTGTGAGTGCAGAGCAACTTCAGGGAATGAACACTTATCTGCATTGTGTGGGTCCCTGTGGGGAGCGTGTTGATTGGCAGCACAGTTCCTTCTGAAAGGCAGCCACACTGTCGCAGCCGGCCTCAGAGTCAATAGCAGCTGCTGTTGCTGCTGACCCAGTTCTAAAACCTCTCACCTGGGGAAGGTGAACACTGCACCGAATGAAGGGCTTTCAGGTCTTCCTCAAAGTCGAGCAGGAAATCTTCAAGATCACGCTCATCTGTGGGAAGGAGAAATGCTGGAATGATTAGGTCTGGCTCTCTTTTCAAGAGACCAAATCCCCGTGAGGAAGTTTTGGGTTGTCCTTGACACAGGAACTGTTACAAAGGGAAATGAAAGCGAGATATCCTGCTTTCCCTGGGCTTTGGCTTTCTTCCAAGTCTATGACAAAGTTGGCTTTGGTTATTTTACTCAAGCCACTATGCCTCAGTATTTCAGCCCAACTGGGGGTGAGCACTACATACTGAGACCCTGGCTCAAAAAAAAAAAAAGTTTTTGTGCAATTCTAACATGGGGCTTTGAAAATAAACTTATGGCTGGGGATATAGCTCAATGGCACAAGTGCCTGCCTGGCAAGTGTAAGGTCCTGAGTTTGATTCCTGGTATTAAAAAAAAAAAAAGTCTGTTACCTGAAAATAAACTCATGGAGGAGTTACACCTTTTGTTTATTGCGTATTTCTTGGGTCTAGTGTACTGCCTGGCACATACTATTGGGCACTTCCATTTTTCAGATGAATAAATTATAGTAGAAATTAGAATGGGTGATACAGGAAAAAAAACAAACAAACTAAAATCTAAAGCAGGAATAAGAGCAAGACACATGTGACTTAAACAAAAAAAGCCAAGATACGGTCCCTTCAACAGATATGCATCTGAAAATAGACTGAACTACGCTTGCTTTAACATCAACAAATCATTAAGGCTCAAAGAAGACGAAGCCATTCTCTTTAGACCCTGTACAAACTCGCAGGGTTGGCAAGGAAAGAGGGAGTGCCGCCCGCGGGCCTCCTCATTACTACAGGTGTGGTTGGATGCATTGCTCTCTGTTTAAGTAATGTCTTACTTCAAGGGCCTCACAGACATTATCTCATTTCACCTTCCTGACAGATACCCTGGTGGGGGATAGGAAGGGAGAATGATTTAAAATTAGTTGGAAAAGAAAATGAATCCTTAAACCTTTCTGCTGAAATATGGAAGGATCTAAAATGTATATATTCTCTACTCTCCCCAGGCCGTAGGAATAAAAATGGATTTTTATCTTCTGGAGAAAAGTGTTCAGAAGCATGTTTAGAAAATTTATTCACAGGGGTGGGACCCCTTTAAAAGTTTATGGAAATACTGCTATGAGGAGTTACCCCTGATGACAACATAGGCTAAGGAGGATTTATTATAAATATAACTGAATTCACCAACTGAACAGATGAAATTGTAGAATAAATCCTGAGAGAGCTTGCTCTTTTTATGTAAGTCTTTAAAAAAGTGAGATTGATTTTCAGCTTGCTGGGGTGTTTACAAAAGGATAGCTCTGGAGTTCAGATAATCTATTTGATGAATTTTCAAGACCCTTCCAGGAATAATTTCATTACTGTGACATAGCAAGTTTTACCTTGAACTTGAAACATTCCAGTGTCTTTCTTATGGAAATAGTCCACACTGCTGTTATCACCTTTATTCCACTGATTGGAAATTTTGTAGATGTTCTCACATACTCCAAATGCACAGCATTGGTAAGCATAAGGCATTTCTATGACCCTTTAAAAGGACAAAAACCAAAACAAAAAAACACACACATTTAAAGAGATCGGTCATTAAATACAGTGTTTGTTTTATTTTTTTCAGCAAATGACTCTACCTTGGGGTTTAACCTAAACAATCCAAAGTAAGTTGGGCATAAAGATGTTCATTATAGTGCTACATATAACAACAATGGAGTTATAATTATTACCACAAAATGTTGATAATTACTGAAGCTGCCTCATACAACTTCCATTATTCAAATGTTGGAAAATATTCATACTAATATGGTTAAAAATGACTGCTAGGAAAGTTATAGTAACATTGTGACATAATTTTAAGTGACTGAAATGTGATATAGCCGGGCGTAGTGGTATACGCCTGTAATCCCAGCACTCGGGAGGCTGCGGCAGGAGGATTGTTGCAAGTTTGAGGCCAGCCTAAGCTACAAAGTGAGCTCAACGCCAGCCTGAACTGCATAGCGAGACCCTGTCTCAAAAAGACAAAAATAAATAAATAAATAAAATGTGATATAAATGTCTATGAACACTTAGATTCTAATAATTAAAAATAAAATGAAATCGACAAAGAAAACACATAATATGTATTTTTCTTCTCTTCTTTTTTCTAAACTATCTTTTGAAGTTTTATTACTTTCATGCTTTTAAATGTACTGTATATAAAAAGTATTGTGGTTTAAAACACACACACATGTTTTTAAACATATTTACACATAAAAACTTTTATGATACTTCTTTATTGTAATAAGCATAACAAGTTTTAAAGAACGTTACTTCCTTAAATGTTAATTTACTATATTTTATTAGAATATATGCACAAGCTACATGACTTAGAAACTATCAACAGGAGTAGAACATTGTTATGATGTTATTTAATTACATGTCCCAGTTTATATCTCATGGGTCAGTGGTTTTCAAACTCTCTCCATGAACTCTGTTATTCTGGAAGACATCTTTGAGAAGGAAAGGAAATGTGGTCCGGAAGACACATTCTCCCACTTCAGGGGGTGGGGGACTTGAGGGCATGAAATGTAATTCAAAAGGGTCTCATGACCTCATAAATTTAGAAAACCACTGTAACATGTCTGTTATTTCACATGACCACAAATGTATCTTATTAGTTTTAATGACAAACTCACTTGAGTTCTGGAAAGTTTTCAGATGATATCAAGCTTTGTAAGGCATGATTTCCTGTTAATTTTAAGTGAGTTAAACCATGTAACCCAGTTACAGGAAAAGATGACAGAACGTTGGAGGATAGATCCCTGCAAAACATCAAACAACAATTGGCTTTTAGTCTCTGTTAGCATAAAACATTTATGTCAAGAAAAAGAAAAGCAACCTAAAGTTGATTAAACTACTCAGTAAACACTTCTAAGGGTCCTTCCTCTTAATGGTAAAAGTAACTACTTTTGTTTTAGTTCTTGATAACTTTTCTATTTAAAATCAGAATTGCAGGGGGAAAGTTTTAATTTCATCCAAACTGTTCTATATTTGGTTTCATTTTGCCAAATGGGGACACCCAAAATCAAAAGGAAGCTGCTACATTTATTTGAAAAGTGAGAGGAATCAGAAGTAAAAGTTTGGGGGATTATTTCCATCCTTCTCTCCTGAGGTTCTCTTGGATCAATTCCTTGTTTCTTTATTAAATAAGAAAGAGGAGGCCAAAGAAGAGCTGGAGAGAGGAAGAGGAAAAAAAGGGACAGGAAGGTTTTCTACTGGTCAAGATGGTGAACAATAAAATGAAAGCCCTTTAGAACCGAATTGATCTGATTCCATCCCACCTGGTTACTCAGCAAAAATGGTCAACTTTGCCTGATTAACCAGAACCTGCTGTCACTCAGATCTTCAATTATCCACTTAAAGGCCCACATAGCCCCGGGACACACCTCCCCAGCTCTGACAGAGCTCAGCTGTGGAGAACACCGAGGATGGGTGAACCGCACCATGAGTGTCTTCACTCAAAACACTTGTATTAACCAAGTGGCCCCCCAGTTATTAAAAACATGCCACAAACAAGTTATGAAATACTCACAGCTTTACTAAAGATGGCAACGTAGCAAATGCATTGGGGTGAATAATGGCAATTTTATTCCAAGCTAAATTCCTATTTAGAAAGAGAGAGAATTACATAAGCAATGAAGTCCACATGAGGGTTAATCAAATGCAGTCAGTCTTCTATCAAAATGTAATTCCCATTCAGATCAAGAACAGCTAGCTCACTGAACTGTGCTTCAGATAAAGATAAGGGTGAAAGATGATGAAAGACAGGATTTAGATTGACCTCATTAAAGTAATCACGGCAAAGTCATTTAGGAAGATGTTTTCAGTTTTATCCTCATCTTGTTAAAAGGTTGACTTTAATATGTCTGTAAAATTTTATTAGGGCTTTTCTAAAATTTGTGGGGATAGGAGAGTGGTAAGAGACAGTATTCTGAGGCTCTTCTGACAAACGAGTATATTTTAAATCCTAAAATGTCCTGATAAATAATGACGCTCAACCAAGAATTGGTGCACATCATCAAAATGTCAGCTCGTGAAAGACGCTTTCAATACCACTCCCAGGAAACAATATTAACAAGTAATTTCTTAAGCAGAATATGAATAAAATGGGGACAAACATATGTCAGAAATTAAGTCCTTTGATAGCAAAAAATGTACATTTTATGGAGAAATAAAATGCATTTGCCACACATAATGAAATGTAGACAGTTTAGTAGGAATAAAATCTTTTGGAAGAACTTCTGTGGATAATTAGAGATAAGGTCTATATTTAATTAATTTATTTATTTAGTTTTTTTGAGACAGTGTCTTGCTATGCTGTTCAGGCTGGCCTTGAGCTCACTTTGTAGCCCAGGCTGGCCTCAAGCTTGCAATGATCCTCCTGCCTCAGCCTCCTGAGTGCTGGGATTACAGGAGTGTGCCAAAACGCCCAGCTAAGAACGTCTATATTTTAAAAAGAACCATGAATTTTAAGGTTTTCATTTTTAAAAATGCCTAACAAACAAGGGTAACTAAGATGCAGGCATTAGAAAAAGTTGAATGTGATTAAAGTCAACTTTTCTCAGGAACTGAGTTTATGATATTGGGTCCCCGAGTTACCTTGAATAAATAAAATCCACAGAATATTCACATTTCATTTAAATGGTTTCTTAGGGACCTGTCCTCCTTGCTTGGAAGAAGCTGGGAGGTCTTTTCACTTTGGTCTCAGGACAGAAGATGGCAGTTAAGAAGGGGAGGAAAACCTGGAAGGTGGAAAGGTACAGTGTCCTCTGGGCTTCCATAGCAGAGCAAGGAGACTGTCTTCTATCAAGCCGCTCAGGGAGTGCACACCTGCTGAGGTGAGCAAGTAATATCATCTATCAAAATCTCACTGGCAGCTTTGAGAAGAATATATAAACCAGAGGTGAGCTTCACAGAGCAGAACATGGAATGTAGGCCACATTCTTCTGTGGGGCTTTCCAGTGGCTTGACTGGGTTTTAAGTATATATGAAAATGTGTATGTGTGAAGGATGCTAATGGCTTCCTAGTGTGTGAGCCCATGAGCCAGAATCTTCCCAGCAGCCCTGCAGGAGTCACTGTCCACTTTTCTGTGCTGCTGTGTTTGGTTTTCCAATGGAGGCCCCACAGGACAGAGCGGGAGTCTGGGCACTCATGGGCTGCTCCTTTGCTCTTTTGGAAGCACATCTTTGACATCAGCTGAACACCTCCTCAATCACTGCATACCTCTCCATGGTTAAGCTCTTTCTGTGTTCTGGAAATGCCACTCTCCTCCTGTCACTGTGATGCAGCTGGTTTGTGCACACCTATCCCTTGCCTGCTCCCTGCCCCACCTATATGGTGTCTCCTGTTTAAATCAAGTGGGGTGGATTCTATTTCCTGCCAGGACCATCACTGACATACTCTAAAAGGCTAGATACTTCTTCTAGCGATAATAACAACAACATTGTTACGTACTTCCTATGTGCCAGGAATAATTGTGAAATTTTTTTATACAGACTGTTTTATAACCCTCGACAAAACACTAAGAGGTAGATGTTACTATTATCCTCTCTTGATGAATGAGGGAAGGGGAACATATGTGTGAGAAATCGGATGCCCAAAGCCACAAATAATCTCAGGAACTGGATTCAAAATCAAGCACACTGGCTTCAGAGCGCCATGTTTGGATTCTTAGGTAAATAATGAGAGACCACTGTGCTTGACCCTGGTGATAAAAAGATAATGAAGTTCTTGTTTTGAGATGGGAAATGGTCCACCTGATGACAGTGCTGTTAAGTGCTGTAGCAGAGAATGTGCACAGTGCATCAAGAGGAGTAAGCCAAAAGACAGGCGGGGCTGTTCTTCTCGGATGACTAGGGGCATAGTCAGGGGCTGGAAGGAATTCGACAGGCAATGGGGACAGGACAAACAACGGCCTATGTACCGGTGGAGTGGGAATGCATGGAAGAGATACGAGACTGAACCAGGAACATGGGATAGGATTTTAAAAAGTGGTGCTGGGAAAAGTAGTCTTAATCCTAAAGACAGGAGGGGAATCAGAAAATTTCAGAAGCAGGGAAGTAATATCTATGCAAGAAAGATTGTTTGAAATCTCTTTGGAGAATGACGTAAATGGATAGAGGCAGTGGTAGGAGGATGGTGATTCTGAGGGCCTGTGGTAAACAATGGAGAGAATGGAGTTGGTAGAATCAGTTGAGTAAGTGTATGTGAGGTCAAAGGGTTTTTGTTTGTTTGTTTGTTTTTGAGACAGGGTCTCGCTGTGCAGTTCAGGCTGGCCTGCCTTGAGCTCACTTTGTAGCCCAGGCTGGTCTCGAACTTGCAACGATCCAACTGCCTCAGCCTCCTGAGTGCTGGAATTACAGGCGTGCGCCACCATGCCTGGCAAGTCAAAGGGGAGGGATTCAGAAAGATCCCCTCGCGGCCTTCACAGTCTGTGTTATTTCTTCTGCCAGCCTTAGAGAACAGCCTGTTGAAATAGAAATGACAGAGCTCAAATCTGCTAAAGAAGGTAGGTGACAAAAGTAGGTAATGTTTTAATATATTTCTTAAGAAGTAAAATAACAATGCAAATAAATTAAAGGAAAAGTTACAGAAAGGGTAAAACAACTAAGTTCAGAAGAAGTTGGTACTCAAGGTAAATTTTTGGAAAAAAGTGATTCTGTAAAGTAAATTTAAAATGGTTTAAGACATAGTATTATTTAATCAACTATTAAGAAATACTTTAGAAGTCAGTGAATAAAAAGGTTGCTAATAAATGTACTTCCATGTAAGCATTATGTCATCAACAACATTATATGTCACCATTCCACAAAATCACACTGAAATCCAATTTCAGCATATAAAAGTTTTTAAGTATTGTTTCCTAAACTGATGTGACTAAGCTTTCTTTTTTAAAATTTAAAATTTATTTACCTAATTAATTTATTGTGGTGCTGGAGATCAAACCCAGGGCTTTGTGTACACTAGGCATAAATTTAAATTTCAAAAAATTTAATATAATTTCTTAATTTTGAAATATGCAATGTTTCCAGTAATAAAACAGAATAATAATGAATCTTAATTGCCTGAGGAACAGAAACGTTTTCTAGGACAGCTGTGCTCAAACCTTAGCGGACTCTGAAAATGCAGATATCCAGGCCCCATTCCAGAAACTCTCGCTCGTGAAGCAGGTGAGGGCCTGGAGGCAGCCTCTTTCATGGTCAAGAAGGGTGGTTCCTAAGTACCCGGAGACACGCGAGGCTCCACTCAACCGGGAGAGGAAAGCACGCAGGTTTGAATTTTATCACCATCCCGTTTTTGTTTGCGAGCTATTGCCTGCCATTCCTGGTTGTGGATAGTCTCACACTGTGTGGGCTTTTAAATAACTTGGTCTCCCTTCCTCTTCCACCAGTCAGCTGACTGGTGGAAAGCATAACTGCACATTTACTACTTTTAAGTTTACCCCTGCAAATTATGCGCAGCAAAATACTTGCCTTTTCATTGCAAATATATGCACAAAAGCCCAACAGTATACAATAAAAAGAAAATATCAGGGGCACCCTAAAAGAGAAAGGAGTGCTGTGTGTTGTGGCCGGTGCTAGGTGGCGATACTCACAGAGATCGGAGGCTCAGCAACTGCTGGAAAGTGTCCACTTTAACTTCATAGATTTCATTATGTCTGAGGTCACTGAAATGACAGAGTTTCAAAGATTGATTTCAAAGTCATTGGTTCCAAAGATTGCAGACTTTAGAGGAGTTTTACGAGTTTTACAGGGAAATCCCCTGCCCTCAATCAAAGAAACACACGGTAGGACTAACAAGTGACTGGTTTTTGTTTAAAAAACATTGCTGCATGCCTGTAATCCCAGCACTCAGGAGGCTGAGGCAGGAGGATTATTGCAGGTTTGAGGCCAGCCTGGGCTACAAAGTAACCTCAAGGCCAGCCTGAACTGCATAGCGAGACCCTGTCTCAAAAAGACAAAAAGAAAAAAACAAACAAACAAAAAATTGCAATTTATAAACTTAAATAAGTAGTCCCTGTTTTTCAAATCAGCAAGTTCTCCTAGAAGTATATAAAACCATGTTCTAAACATGCCATCATCTTTCAAAAGATTTGGGACTCCTCTACTGGCATGTCAAATCTTCACCTTTTAAAACATGGATTTGTCTGGGCGTGGTGGAGCACGCGTATAATTCCTGCACTTGGGAGGCTGAGGCAGGAGGATTGCAGAGAGTTTAAGGCTAGGCTGGGCTACAAAGTGAGTTTAATGCCAGCCTGAACTGCAAGTGAAATCATGTCTCAAAAAGACCAAAAAAAAAAGACAAAAAAAAAAAAAGAAAAAATCCAAAAAATGAAAACATGAATTTGCTTAGTTTATCTTTTTTAATCACCCAAAGGCTTTCAGAGAAAATGAAGCACAGAAAGATAGATGGTTAATGTTGTTTTGATAAAAACGTACGATTATAAAGCAATAAGGTTGATGTTTTGTGAGAGAGGCAGTTTTAAGGCGATAATTCCAAAATGTTCCATGCATAAGCAACGTCTATGGCAACTTAAATATGGCAAACGTGGTAATTCCTCTAAAGATGACTACTGTGAAACAAACACACAAAGCCATGTCCCCCTATATTAAAAAATATCACCACTTATTGATATGTGAGTTTGTTGTAGTTGCAAAAGAAGAAAAATTTCAGAGCTCAGACAAACCCGGTTCACTGTTACGCTGAGTCAGGGGAAAAAGATACATTGGAAGCATTTTACTTACAGTATAGCAGGAGGCAGGAAATAATACTGTCTGCTCTCCAACTCTCTAGCCCCCCTCCACAGTCACTCCTTATGTGTGTAAGAAGGAAAACATCAAGTGTCTGGCCAGTAAGCCATGAAACCAGTGAGAAGAAACCAGTGACCTGGAGAAAGGTATTCGGGCTCTTGCTTTTCGCTAGCTTACTTTGAGACACAAAGACACGTACATTTTCTGAAGCTTCTGGCAAGCTGAAAATCTGGGCAAATCTTCTACTAGGTTGTAAGACAGGTCCCTGAAAAACAGAAGGTGAAAAAACATACTATGTAACATTACATTGTAAGGAATGATGTTACATAGTAAGGAATGGTGTCTGTCTCTTTTTCTTCCAAGCCATTATACCCTCCAAACCCTGACTGGATATTTCCACAGCCCTGATATGGATCAGGTAGTCACAGGCATTATTGGATTAAGCAACAGGTTTGAATGTTTACTGAAACGCAACCATTATAATTCTTTAATTGATTTAAATAATTTAATGAATTTCTTCATATTTTGTCAGTGACGATTTACGATGTTCTAGCTATTATCTTACTGCAATGATTATGCTTCTGTCAGTAAAAACTGCTCCATCTCTATAATTAAGACGAAGTCATTCTTGGTTCTTTTCTAATCAACTTAAAACAAAATCCAGCAATTCAAAACATAGCAGTAACTTTGAAATCAATCACTATAAAGGGGTAAAAAGTCTAAGAAAGTCCTCAGCTAAAGCTCAACAAATTACAGAATAACAAAGACATCTGGACATATTTATAGGATAATATAACTAATCTAAAACAAGCCATGGTAATTTCCAGAATGTTAGAATAACTGGTAGATAAAGTAACATAGATATATTTTTTAAAAACCTTGTCTCATGTTTTAAAAGTTATCAGCGAATCAACTAACACATTTTCATGCCTGATTCTGATTCTTAAAACCAGATCACCATTAAACAACTGAGAAATCCAGTCTTCTAAAAGTCTTAAACTTTTTTCATTCTTATAATTGTTTGCTTCGTTCTACATTTATTAAGTAAATGATATTTATTTTGAAGTAGAGTTTAGTTCCTATACATGTGTTGAATGAAGCTGTTCAGAGATACAAATTTGTGGTTTATGATAGAGATTTTAAATATCACTCCCCAAAGCAAAAAACAAACATGCAAGACTCCACAATTATAAAATAATACACTTGGCTAAAATGTGGCATGCATTTTTAAAAAGTAGTGAATGTATTAAGATGGACACACATGTTATAAAAAAGGATGGTAATGATTTGGTTCATTCATCTCTATAGGCTACATAGGGGGCAATCCTTTCCATGTGTACTTTGATAGAAAGCTACATAAAACCTTCTACCTAAAGACATTAGTGTTGCCTTCTACCTGCCTTCTACTTAATGATTTTCCACGGCTAACACTGATGAAGCACTTCTTACATAAAGGTATGATGTTTACAGCTGTCTTAAGTTACTTCATTTAATCCTGTGGCTACCTTATGGGAAAGACATTATGATTATCCCCATATAGTAAGAAATGAGTGACCTAAGATTACCCGCTACCACGTAGGGAAAGTCACACACCTGGAATGGTGTGCCAGGTAATCTCCACAAAGGGGAGGCAACTACTAAAGCATTGATGTCTTAGGCAGTTCCTTCCTCACATGAGAGGATACCAGTTTTCCCCACCTTTCAGGAATATTGAGAACAAATAAATATTATAGGTTAAAGTGCTTTGGAAATGCTATTTATCATTAATGTGTCTGTTTTCTTTCAGTCCTTTCAAGTTTCCATGTAAAGAAATAGTATCTTAAGAATAATAATAAAAGAAAGTGAGAAAGGTGAATTAACAGTAAGAGTTTATGAAAAAAAAAAAAAAAAGAGTTTATGATGTCCCAGATGTGCTGTTATAAGGGTTTGGCATATAGTCATTTAATCCTGATGATGGACCTCTGAAGGAAGTGCTATTTCTTCATCTTATGGATTGGGAAACCGAGCCTCAAAGAGATAGTGACTTGTTCAATATACTGTGCTGATACATAGGAATCCTGGAGTTGAACAGAAAATCAGGCTTTTGATCAGTTGACTTCAGTTCATGCAGTTCTGGACCTGGTGGTTTACTATTCACCATGTAACAAAATGGAGGCACATGTGAGTCAAAGCACAATTCTAAGATGGCCCCCAAATTTCCACTTCCTGTTGTACACATACTTCTCCCAGTTATTCCATCTAACTGGCTATATTTAAATTCAAACTCTGCTACCTTCTTGTGGTATGACTGACAAATTTACTTAACTTCACTAGTTCTCAGCTTTCTTAACTACGCCCACACCTTTTAGGGTGGTGTGACGTAAACAAGAGGAGACTCGTTCTATTACTCCTTCCTGAATACATGAGTGGCTGACTCCGAGCCTGCCACAAAGTTACTGTACTGCCATGTCACTGAGTACCTAGGGTCCCCAGTGGTGTGGCAGCATAGAGCTGAGGGGAAGGCAGAACCATGTGTGGCAGACATTCTACATTACTTAACACATGTAGTGCTGCTTGCTTTTCCGCTGCTGAGTAAAGCCGATGGTAAAATTACAGGCGTTCAGCTGTGACAGGTGTCTGTGATGTGAGGGCAGAGGCACAGCAAGGGACTAAGGGCCCTGTCATCAAGTCCCAATAGTGCTTACAGGGATGTGGTATCATGAGTGGAAGCTGAGGGAGAAGCTGAAACTAGGTCCAATCAAAGCTCTTCAAATCCCTATATGCTGCTTTCCATAGAACATGGGAAAGGCAGGAAAATAAGCCCTCAGTCAACAGAAACAACATACGCAAGCTGTTCAACCATCAGATAAAACATTAGCACATAGTGCCCTCAGCTATACCAGAAGAATATTTGGTCACCTTTATCAAGGTTTGTGCCAGTTTGATAACTCAATTCTTACTTTGGCATTCATCTTGGGTTGTTGATCCATTATGTTATTTTGTTCTGCTCTGCAAAGCCTTAAAAAAGGAAATGAAATTACTTTGGCTTATTCGTATCCACTTTCTGAAAGGAAACGTGTGCCAACTGGAGCTCTATGGGGGCGCTGTGCTTGGAAGCAAAGGGTATGTGTCCATTGTTCCCCAGGGTCATGGCAGAGAGCTCGGGCCAAAGGGGGCAGCAAAGGAGGCCTGACTTCCTGGAGACCTGCAAGGAAAGCACTTTCTCCCTTTTTAAAGGATTATTGAAATACTGTCTTCCATTTTCCTTTTAAATGGAAGTCGTCTGTTTACACAACATTATTGCCTTACTGATACGCACAGTACTTGGAGATTAGGTAACTGATCACAGACGGTTTGAGGAAGAGATGAGATTTGTGCTCCAGTTAAAGTCCTGTCAAAACACAAACCAGACATCATTCTTTTATTCCTGCTTCGCACAGTGACATATTTTGACTCACTGATGTTAAAGCTGATCAGGCTCCAAGGTTAGTTTATATTCTGGGGAAAGTTAAGAGCCTACTTGTGTACTTACAGACTCTCCAAGTTGGCAGTTCCAGTTAAGTCAGGAAATTCAGTTATTTGTGAAGCACCATTCAAAGTCCTAGGAGGAGGAGTATGTAAATATTACTGGAAGAAGATTCTAGAAAGGGGTAATTTAAATTGGCATTTTCAGAGTAGGGAATATTCTTTTGGTCTTTACACCAGTCCTGCAGGGTGGGAGAACTGTGCTCTAGAAGAGACACAGGTACTTACAGTGTTCTTAGTTCAGGTAAATGCTGAAAAGCAGATCTTCCAACAAATTGGATGGGGTTCTCATAAAAATGTCTGAAAAAAAATCCAAATACCAATGTCTTATTATGAAATTTGAATGAATATCTGTTCAAAATTTCAATACACTAAATATATTTAGGTAATTTTGATTCTACTATATTAAACACCATTCCTGATTATTTGGCTCCAGGCAAACCTTGCAAGTATTTTGATTCACATTATGAGACTTTTGGTAAGAAACTCATAGTATACAAAATTTATAATTTCTGATAGTAAGGCAGATATGAATGGTAGTTACTTAAATAAAAAAACAAGTGAATTGACTATATTTAAAATCTTCTTCTGAGCCAGGTGTGATGGCCCATGCCTGTAAGGACAGTCACTGTGAGTTTGAGGCCAGGCTGGACTACATAGCGAGTTCACGCCTAGCCTGAACTACCTAGAGAGACTTTGACTTAAAAATTTTTTTTCTGCCTTCAACGTCTGTAGAATATTCATTGAAGGGCAAAGAGGTAATTTCTGGTGCTAGTAATTGTTATTATTAAAGAAAATAAAATTAATCTACTGGAGGTTTTACCTTCCAGTCAAATATTACATAATATCCATACGAGTCTTTTAAAATTATTTGAGAAGTAATGAGTTACTTAGAGTTTTTCTCACATTAGAATTTTCTTGAATTAGTTATTGCTCTATCAGGAGAGACAGTACTAGAGCTTATAGCCTATTTTATTTTGCAGATGTTTTCAAGGTAGGTGAAATGTATTTGAATTCCCTGGTCAGTGGAGTCCCTCACACACCTCTTAACGGAAGCACCCTGCTAGTTTAATTAAATTTAACAAATTCATGGAGTTTTACTATGCTTATAGTAGGAAGGTAGATATTAAGAGTATTTAAAGACTTATTTATTGAACAAACTGTCATTGGTTATCTACTTTGCCCCTGGCATTACGCTAGATATTAGGAGTGTGATTTTCTTTTTTTGTTTTGTATTTTTATCTTTTTGAGACAGGGTCTTGCTGTGCAGTTCAGGTTAGCGTTGAGCTCACTTTGTAGCCCAGGCTGGTCTTGAACTCACAGTGATCCTCCTACCTCAGCCTCCTGAGTGCTGGGATTATAGGCATGAGCCACCACGCCCAGCCGGATATTAGGAGTATGAAGAATGATAAATTGTTCCAGCTCTAAAGGAGCTAGGAATCAGTTGGGATTAAACAAACAAATAACAGCATACAACCTTCTATTTGACAGAGCAGTTCTACATCTATTTCACCTGGCCCATGCAGCAATTTTGACACATAGTGTAAGGATATTTCCTTTTGGAGGAGAAAATTTCCCAGGTTAGATACCTGGGAAAGCTCCTTACCCCAGATCCTCAATCTTTGTACTTGTTAAACTGAGATAATAATTCTTAGTTGTAGGATTCATGTAAGAATTAAAACAGCTACTATGTGTGCAACATCTATCACAGTTCCTGGAAAATAGTTATTGCACAATAAACCTAGGTCCTTTTCTGTCCTCTTACTCTTTGATCCTTTCTTTTCCCTTAGACAGAGAGTGATCAAAAGAGCTGGAACTGCAATATATACTTTACGATTTAAAAATGGGATTTTCTTCATCATGTCACATTATCCTTTGCTGTACCATATGCTTACAGGAATCTGATTGTGCTCATATCCATGTACAAATGCATGAGCACTGGGCCAGTATGAATGTACATACTTGCGTGCATAAGGGAGAAATATTGCCAATACCACTAAGGAGTTCTGTGGCTGTCAGGAGAGAATTGTCTCATATGTTCAGGGGAGATTAAGAAAAACCTCCAGAAATGGAATTTAAAATGGACCTACAGGACAGAATTTCAACCAGCACAGTGAGGGGACAGAATCACAGGCACAAAGGAAATTAACAGCTTCTTTCTATGAACATAGCTTAGTTGATCTGATTTAGGACCCTGTGGCAGTAGATGGAGACCAGCCTCCTCCACTGGTAACAGACTGAGAAGTAACAGCTGGCAGAAGGGCATGAAAAGAGGGTGTGGATAGGATGGGAGGTGCAGAGGTGGCTGACAGGACACCAAGGTATGAACAGAGGTGGGGGCGTGTAGGAAGGGGCTGGTAGTGATGAGTTGGAGATGAAAGCAGGAGCACAGAGAGGAGAGTTCCAGAAATAAAATGGCCAACACTATGGAAAAGTGGATGGAAGGTCAAATATCTGTGAAGGGCCCTTAGCCTACCTCAGGACCTATGAGCATGTCAAGAGTGATTAAGCCAGAGGTAGCAGAGGAAGTGGAGCAAAGGTGATGCAATCTGCCAACCTCTTAATAGGTAAATACTCTGTAAGGAAGACTAACGTTTATTGGTCAGTACACTTTAGGCAGTTAGTTTGTCAAAATATTGCCAGAGCATTTCAGAAACGATGATTGTTTCTGTTTGTTCATCCACAACAAATGCCACATGGTTCCAGAAAACCTTTTGATCTATTGGCACAGGACAAACATCTGCCAAGAAGTGCCCGTAATGTTCAAAAGTTGTCCTTACTCTTCTGTCTATTTGAGACTTCTCACCACTGGCCCAGGGCCCGTCCTGCGCTGCAGCCCTACCTTGGTCAGGCATCTGTCCTTTAACTGCGTCAGCCTGAGCAGTATAGTTTTTATTTCTCTCTATGTCTATCATCAATCAGTCCGTGTTAAATGTAAAACAGAGATTTAGATATACTTTGTAGTTATAACTATTTTATTATTATTTCATGGTCTAAAAATCCTCAGCTACTCCTTTTTAGAACATATGACTTTTCTAGAATGACAGCCTAGTTTGTAAAAATGTGACTACTCAATGCACGGCTTGGTTATGAATAGACAGAGATTTACCATAAAACACTATTCCTCCCACCCTACCCCACCCCAGTTTGGGCAGGTGTCTATTGTTTGTAAAGATCCCTCTTTGTAAAAGATAATTTCTATTTCTGAGTTGAAATCCTGAATGACAGTGTGGCCTTCATGTTGATGATCTAAAATTCAGTTTATTTCTTAGAAAACAAAGATAACTATAAGAATTTACAAACTTAGTTGTGAAATGCAACAAGACATCTGAAAATACCAGGCATAATGCAATATACATTGTAGATCCTAAAAAAATGTTCTAAAAATATTTATTCAGTGTTCAGTTGAAACCTGCCAGAGAGCTCCATGTATGAGTCTCTGTACATATTATTACTATGGCTGAGGCAGAACTCAGGCAAATATAGAACACTCATTGCATTTGACGTTTATAAGTGCAATATACCCAATGTATCAGGGTGCACAAACCCCAAAACACTTTGGTTACTTACATTGTAATAAGAGAAGGGTTGCCTACAAATGCTTTCTCAGGTATTGACCTGATATTGTTGCTATGAAATCCTCTAGAAAGAGAGAAAAAAATGCATGGAAAATCATGTGTGGGGTAAAATTATATACTAGCCCTCCCCACCCCCTCACTGTGGTAATAATCAGCACCTTTAGTAACCAGAGGACAAAATTAAATTCCTCTCTCCTTAAAACTTTGGTATCCTCATTTACTCTCAAGGATAAGGACAAGGGATGGAGATTCTGTAGTTGTGCTTTGTGGAAATTTATGACCTAACACAATAAAAAAAACCCCATATGTTAATATCCAGTAGAGCCTGAGGAGTGGGAACTATCTTTGGAGAGAGGATCAGGACTACTCCTCCTTACTCCACTTGGAGCTGGAAGAGAAAATTGACTTAAGTTGAAGTAGAGATTTGAGTAATCTTCTTATGAGGACAAAATTTCCTAAGTCTGTAATAATAAACTGATTCTCATCTGTCAGGGTAACGCTGTCTGAATGGCATAGGACCAGAGTCAATGATCTCCGGGTCTTATGTGGAGGATGGCTGTATGAGATGCAATATACATTGTAGATCCCTGTCTTAGGGCTCCCTGACCCTGTACAATGAAGACCCTGCAATAGAGCCATGTGTGGCGTTTCCTGAGGCAGACTGCTGAAGGCTTTTTCATTTAAACAAGCTCCCCTGTCCACCTTCTTTGGCTGTGTGTCTTATTTCTTTTTTTTTTTTTTTTTTTTCTCCGGTACCAGGAACCGAACTCACGACCTTGCACTTGCCAGGCAGGCGCTTTTGCCGCTGAGCTAAATCCCCAGCCCCTGTGTGTCTTATTTCTCACTGCCAGGGGAATAAGCTCCTAGGTTTATTTTCCTTTGTAAGTGTTAGAACATTACCTCTCTATGTTATTCATTTTGTTTCACTACAAAGAAAAGCTAAGTAATTTTATCATCCATAAGATATACCTGTAACTTAATGGCTGAAAGTTAGCTTTCTCTTAGTAAACTTGCGTTTTGAAAAATTAAGTAAGACTCACACAGCATTGAAGGAATATAGTGAATAATGAAATTTATATAAAGTTATCTAGCATTACACAAAGCACATACAACTCCATTCATTCAGTTCTACATTATGCAAACTAGAAAAGTTCAGATTGTTACAAATGCTCAGCAATAACAGAATTTAGTTCTAGTTCCACAATCTGTAAAGGACATACATGTTAGGGGCATATGTATGCTTTAGATAAACAGACAAGAATATGGCTTAAGGAAACATGAAGTATCTTTAAACACAGGTAGATGACTAATCCATCACAAATTAAAACTCTGATATTTACTGGTAATAATCAATTAAAATATATTTCAAGTACATTTTTTAACATATGGATATTAACATACAGATTTTAATTTTATATTTAATTAAAATATATTTCAAGTACACTTATGTAAGCTTTAAAATTTTTCCTATAAGTCAAATTATGTACAACCATCACACATATGTTCAAAATAAATTCACAAAGAGTAAAGTTCTTCTACTGTCCTAACTACTTACAGTTCCTTAAGGTTGGAGAGTGTCCTGATTGCAATGGGAAATTCATCGAGGTTATTGTAATTTAAATCTCTGAAAATGAGCAAATAGTATTTTCAATTAAAAACTCACATATATAAAGTATACAGTAAGATAACATGCTATTCCAATGGAACCATATCACCCATGAAAGCTCTACTTCCTCTTCTTTATGGAGAGGTTTTCTTGGCTTGCTTACCACCAACACTCCAGAAGCATTTGCATTAAAATGATCACTACACTGATTAGGAGAAATTTCAGAGTCAAAGTTCAATGGCCCTGGTGCATTTAAAACAGGGAGGGACATGCAGTTAACTTCCAAGTAGGAGGGACGCTTGCTTGGGGAGGTATTGACCACTTGCTGGTCGAGCTCTTCATCTGAATTTGGTTCACTGTACGGCCAGCTTGTGTTTGCATTCCTGAGGCTCCTGGACTACATCCCTTTTTTGGTTGTCTCCTTCCCTTCTTGGAGATAGGATATCTTAGAGGGCCGCATTTTTCCTGACTCCTGTGGAGAACCTGCATGTCTCTCAGTCTGAAGTCCAGAATCAGACTTGCTTCTGGAGAGGTTTATGTGACACAGGGTACTCTTAGGAAGCACATCTGGTCTAGCATTTTCTCAAATCAAAAAATGGTTCACATCAGATGATGTTTTCTCTGAGGCAAAGTTCTATATTATCCCTGCATACACACACAGAAAGGAGGGCCAGACAATCTCCAATCATTAATTTTTCTGTCTGTTATGACACAAATGGCTTTTCAAATGCTATTACTCCCCATTATATTTACAACTTCATATGAAAAAGTAATTGCCTCCTGTTCTCTGGGAATGGTGGATTTTCCAGATGATGCAGAAAAATCTTTCGGTCAGGCAATCAGATATGGTTAGATTCTCCTCTCTGGAAAAGGAATTGTCATTTAAGGATGATAATTTGACTGCGTTAAACATGAATCAAAATTCCTACTTGTCTGACACAAGCCATCTTTAAGATATACCTCAGGCAGGAAATTCATGACTTTTGTGGACATAAATTTTCTTCCTGTTTGTAAATCTCTCCAGATGCTCTGTTCTGATTAAATGAGGATTGGACCCTTATAAATTACTTGGATTTCTAGTGAGGGAAAGGAAGAGGTTGGAAATAACCAATTTACTGATCCCCTGTAGCTCTGGGCAAGATGGAGGGAGACAAGGCACACAGGAATTTTACCCTAAATATTTTGCCTTGTGGTGTTTATATGCAAGCCTGGGTCACTGATGGTGAAGCTTTCAGAGACAAATGCCCAAACTGCAACCCAAACCCACTTATTTATCGTGAAGTGCCAACACTGCAATTAAACCTGAATACTGAGGTTTTAGTTTAGAAAAAAACCCAACTCGTACCTGAACATCTTTTGTCTTTAAAAAAAAATAACACATGGCCATAGGTCTCTTACCACTGGCCCAGGTCCTTATCTAGGATTGGGGAAAAAACTATTTATGGAAATATCCAAAGCCCATGTTTTTTGTTGTTATTCTTTCTATTGTCCTTTTGAAAGGACTGGAAGGAGATTTCACTTGTTGAAATCCTGCACTCCAACCCTGGGCTAGATGGAGAATTCTTATTTTTCCTAGCTGCTGATAGAAACTGTTCACCTAGGCCATTAAGTTGACATCAAGATTTTGCCTAGACAAGTTCATCTTACACCCATGAGGAAACAGAGGGACTTAAGGAACACTGCGCTGATCCACATCAAGGCCAGCATCATATGGTCTCTCCGGCAGTTACTGACCCCAGACTTAGAAGATAAATTGACCATGTGCAAACTGCTAAGCCCTGTATGTAAACGGACAATGGTTGTCAAGCATGGGAGAAGTGAATTTTGGTGTTCTGCTTCTGCAGTCCGGGTAAGGCCAGTATTGCAGATCTGGTGGCCTTGTCAATCTATTGTACTTGAGTATTAAAAATGTCGGGATGGGGATGAGGGTATCCCTACAACCACCCTCCTCTCTGAGCATACTCAGGACTGTCATTGCATATCATTCTACCTTCACTCTATCTATTCCACTCAACAGGGCAACGAAGGTAGCTCCTTCCCTGGGGAAAGCTGAAGACCCTGGTGTGACTCAGGAGAACGATCCTGAGTCAGGCCCTGAGAGAAGGTCTAGTTAGCTGGACTCATTTTTGTCATCTGTACCAACTAAGAACTGAACTTTTGATCTATTTTTTGGAAGTAGCATCTGAAGGTAAACACTGATTTCAGAATCAGACTAGAGAAGGAAACAAATCCCAATTATGCTGCTGATCGTATATGTAATTTTTTTGTTTTTGTTTTTTTGTACTGGGAATCGAGCTCAGGACCTTACACTTGCCAGGCAGGTGCTGTGCCACTGAGTTATATCCCCAGCCCCAGATATGTCATATTGACAGAATCACTTACTCTCACTAGAGCCTATCATAGAATAGTAACATTCACTTTTCAAAGTTCATAAAATTATTGGAACAATGTATGCTATGTCCTAGCGCAATAGCTAGGAAATGGAAATAACCAATAAATGATAGTTATTATCACTTTTTAGTGCTTTGAATTCCTTAGCATATGCTCTATTTCCTAATGAAATGACTATTTACCTCAGATTGGAGACTCAGGCATTTGCCTGGTCCCCATCTTCTCATTCAGCAAGGGGGACCAAGCTCATGAATCCTGAGCCCGAGTAACAATATGCAATTGATCCTTGGCACAGAATACACAAACATAAGCAAACGGTCACTGCTCAGAAGACACGTCGTTTAACTTAAGAGATATGCTAACTAATTATCACTTTCATTAGTTTAAAAGAAAATCTCAGTTTCGTTGCTTAGCTCTGAGGGGTGTGTGTGTGTGTGTGTGTGTGTGTAGACAGAACCACTGTAAACATGTTTAAAGCTCAGGCAGTTAACCAAACCAAATAGAAAGTTTGGCTTTATGGCTGTTTTGATTCCTTCAGAATATTCATGAAAGCACTGAAAAAAAGGGAAACAAATAAAAGGTCACTCACAAAGTCTCTAGGCTGTGGAGCCCATCAAAGCATTTCTTTCCCAGGGAGTGAATTCTATTGTTATGGAGATGCCTGCAGGAGAACATTACCGACAGTCACAAGGCACTGCACACAGCAAATTTAGGCAAAACATTCTGACAGCTTAAATCCAGAGAAACTTATACTACAGAATATACTAATCATAGGAAATGAATAATTTTAAAAGTCTACATGCCTCATTCACTCATATCATAGATGATTCTATACTATGAATTTAGAAGACAATCATAATTGTACTTTTTAGGTTTGAGGCATCAGGGAGTGTGTAATAATCTGAACAACATGATTGATATAAGTAAAGTCAGGTTTTTCCATATATTTTTGAATATAATTTGTTCAGCATGACTAAAATATAGAAGGTTAAGTGAGATATTGACCATCATTGAGACACGGAAGCTAGAGGAAAGGCGACAGGTGTACTCAGCACATTTTCTATTAAAATCAAGGCTTATAATGGCCACATTCCCAGTGTTGGGCCACAGGTCAACAGGAAACAATTTCAGTTACAGGGAATGGTGACCAGATTTTTTGGCTGCCCAAGAAGATTAGTTATCTTGACACAGTATTAATGTGTATAATTATCATCTCTGGCTCAACTAGTAAGTCAGTTAGGCCAAAGCCACTGAGAACAGCTGTGTATACAACTGAAAACTGGATCAATTCCCAAAGGGATTTTGGAAAATGGGTTTAAGGGAGAGGGAGAAAAAGGATAGCTAATCTCTGTGAATACATTCCCTCTACTGGACAAAACAATGTTAAAACATATACCCAGTTTCTGGTAGGTCAACTGCATCATCTTTATATGTGAAATTCAGTATTGATACTTATTGATATCCCCCCAAACTTCTTTTCCTTTCATACTAAGATATTTATTTTAATAAATTCATTTTAGTTTCATGTGAGATCTATGCACATTCATTAGGGATCTTCTACATGCCACAGATAAGGAGGGGGATTGAAGGGAATCTAAACAGATGGATAAGATACTGGCCAGCCCTCAAAGAAATACATACTTCTTTGGAAGAGGCAGACATGTAATCAAGTCGAGTAACAAAATGGAATGATAGAGGGCAGCAGTGAGTCATCTGGTGAGCATGGAGCAAAAGGAGGAACAGTACAGAAGTCTTCTTCAAACTTCCACAGGGTAGTGGTTTTTGCTGTTAAAAGGCACCCAAAGTCCCACAGACTAAAGGTTTGTACCTTACTCTGTGGTACTATTGAGAGGCCCTCCAGTGAGGCAGGCGGGGAAACTCATACTCTTCCTCTCTCTGTTTCTCTTTGCTTTTGGGCTGCCATGAAGCAAGCAGTTTTGCTCAGCTGTGCACTTACTTGCCATGATGTTCTGCCTCACTACAGGCCCAAAAGCAATGAGACAAAACACCAGGGGTGAAACCTCTGTCACCGTGATTCAAAATAAATCTTTCATACCTTAAGTTGTTTACCTCGAGTATTTTGTCACAGTAACAGAAAGCTAACACACTAAGCAAACTGACAGCCTTTCAAGTGGCAGCTATTTTCCTATTTCAGCATTAACTGACTATTCTGATATACACACGAGAGCATGTGGCTTCAATCTTAAAAAAGATGGGTTATTTTTCAAATTTTTACTTGAGAATCACTTCTTTGTGTTTACTAAAATAATGAAATCTAGACTTAAAAGGGATAAAATCTGTACACATGTGTTACTCAAGAAAAACAAAAACACAAAAAAACCCACAAATGCATTACTCACAGTCAGTCATTAGTTTTCCCAGCTCTTTCCTTAGCTCAAGAAGTACTTATTAGATATTATTAATACACATTATTAAATAATAAATACATCTTTCAATTTGACCTGAACTTTCAATTACTAAAAAAAATTAAAGAATTTTTATGAATTGTGGTTACTGTACTAACTGTATTGTACAGCAATTCCTTGTATAATATACAATGGGCTCCACTAAATCAGAGGTCATATTTTATTATCTTTGTATGCCCAGCCGCATTTGGCATTTATCAGGTGCTTGATAAATGTTTAAGTCATTTACACAGTTGGAACATTTATAAGTCATCTTGGGGAGGGACTCAGGGAGTTTTCCTTCCTTAACATGTCCCCATTAAAGCTCTGAAGAGCCAGCATTTTAAAGCCAAGATTTTAGAATGAATTTAGAAACTCTTAAAAGAGAACACAAAATCAATAAAACTTACAGAACTACCAAGCTGGAGAGGTTTCCAAAGGCATAATCTGGTATGTGGTGTATTTTGTTCAGGGCCAAGGTCATGGCTTGCAGTGCTGATAAGCTTCTGAAAGCCTGGACAGGGATTTCCGTCAAAGCGTTGTCATCAAGCCACAGGTGCCTCAGGGAATGCAGGCCACTGAAGCAGGTGGGTGGCACGTAGCTGATGTGGTTGGCATCCAGACGCCTGTGGAAGGAAGAGAGAGCAAAGTCCAGGCAAAAGACGGACTTTACACAAAGACTTTCCAGATGTTTCACAAGAGTGAAACACAGCCTAGGGAGTTGAGGGTCCTGACATCTGGAGCATCTTACTCTCCTGATGGCTTCTCCTTCTCTTTTATGGGTAGTGGTCTTCATGCTTTCTTTCCTGAACCCAGCAAATAGACATCTTTGTTCCTTTCTCCCCTCCTGAGCCAAAAGATGCCTTTACATTCTTGGACAGTTTTGAACATACTAGCCACGCTGATCTACTAGTGTGCTCTGCAACTTCTAGGAAAAGATGACTTCAGTATTTGAAAGGAACCAAATAATTTTTAAAAGCTGGTAGATATGTCAGAGAGAGGAGAAGTAGCCCTCCCTTTCCCTTATTATAGTGCCAAAGAGCCTAATATGGACTGGTTTTCTTGATCATCTTAACCATTTGCTTTGGGCAGATGTTTGTTTTAATGACACTTTAAATGAGTAATAAAATTAACAGCTTTCCAGCTTTTGCTTCCTTTTCCCACCCTTCATTGTTTTTCAAATGGGAAAATCCATTTAAAAATAGATTTAGTCAACAGGCCGTTGCAGCTTTGGAGCCAGCAGAGGGAGTGTAATACGTTTATTTTGCACCAGCACAATATAAATAGCAGCTATAATTAAAATGCCTTCACTATACTCATGGAAGCGGCAAAGCTCACACAGTTTAACATTTTCTGTGGGGTGCATGAACAACAGAACCACCATCCTTCAGCTCTGTGTCCAACAGCCCTCACTTTTTTTCAGTCTGTTTGTAAGTCTCACACATTTGTGTGCATTTTCAAAGCTAGGATTAAAAAAAATAAGTTGCATTTTAAGCGGTCCATGTATTAGAAAGGATTAGAGAATCACGAGAGGATTCTGAAAAATGTTTTTGGAAACATTTAAGACAAAACAGATGCCGGAAGTACACTAGGATCACAAAATAATCTCTTGCAAACCAAATTTAAACAGTTTAGAAATAGAATTCTCTGTGGTAGCAAGCTAATCTCTCTGGAAAGCGGCTTCCTCACTTTTGGTCACATATGTCATTCTCGTCATTCTTTGTTCCTATGTCTACTGACTGCATGGGAACAGTGATACCTTGAAACCCCTGGACTGAGCTTTGGTAATAACTGAGTTGAGATCACTTGGAATAAATTTTCAAAGTTGAGTGTCTTAGCCCATACACACCTAAGTGTCCAGTAGAGCAGCCATCATCGTAGGCAGCAGAAACACTCCTTCCCAAAATACAACAAATGAACTGGACATGTTTAGGAAAACTCAGCCACCTGTTCTTCCTTCTCCGGCAACATTGTGCTTGGCCCGGGTTCCGCTATGGTACATTCTCGGGGGATGAAGAGAGGACCATTTTTGTTTGACTAATATTAAAGCACATATGTAACTCCTTCTTAACTACTGCCCTCACTGAAAAATGGAAACTTTCTAATATAGTACACATCTCTGAGTTTTAGTTGATGTAGGGTCTGATTATTGCCAGTTGCTTATGTATCAAAATAAGTAGCTCTTAAGTATCTTGAAAATGAAAAACCTTAAAGTTCAATGCAAATGTTGAGATATATTTGTAGAAAAGCCGATGGTAGGCTTGTCTATTTTGGTACTTTGAGCTGCTACCAATGTGAAGTGGCCCTGGGATCACCTCCTTATGTTAAATCCATTGCTCTGGACAGACATTTTTTTAGAGGGTTTTTAAAATTTTAAAATTAAAAAAAAACTGACAAAGCAACAATGAAGACATAATCAAAACATCACAAAAACAACAAAAATGATGCATGACCTCAGAACAAAATGATAGAAATTTGCAATGGTTGCTACATTATATATTGTTCAGGGAAGAGAAACTGCTCAAATAGGAAGGAGCAACTGGATTGAAGGAGGGCAGAGGAAAAATAAAGAAGGAAGAGGGAAAAATATGTGTATATATATACACAGGGCAGCTAGGATAATCACACTACTAGTATCTGTTGGTTTATTGAAAGGAACAGTTAATGTGTAATGGACAGATATATTTTTGTTGTTGTTACTGAAGTTGGGGATTGAACCAAGGGGGTGCAGAGCTAGACCTGTAGCCCTTTTTATTTATTTTTTATTTCGAGACAGAGACTTACTAAGCTGTCCAGACTGGCCTTGACATTGCCATCTTTATGCTTATCCTCCCAGGTTGCTGGCATTGCAGGAGTGCAACCCAGGACTGACTGGACAGATATCACAGTTTTTTGTTCTCAGAAAAAAAGGTGAAACATGGCCTCTCCACAGTATTATCTTACAGAAAATTGCTATTTGAAGTGAAATGAATAAGTCAGAGCAATTATTCGGACCTAACACTCTAAATATAAATTCTCTACACCTGAGAACCTCAGGTAGAGTCCAGCATTAAAATCTTTTTCTAATAAATAGTTTTTCATTTAAGAAGCCTGCAATAAAAGACACTTCTAACTGTAGTATTTTAGAGTCCATATCCACCTGGCCTCAGAGGTCCCAACCTAATTCAGAGTGGAATATTGTTCACACTCAAGGGTGTTATCTGATTTAATCTTCTCCAAGCTTAATGAAAGTCTAATTCCCAAATAAAAGTACACAATGTGATGTTTGGATATATGGGTACAGAGTAAGATGATTAGCTCAAGGCAACTAACATATCTATTACCTCTCACACTAATCATTCTTTCATGGTGAGAATGTTTAGAATCTAATCTCTTAGTAATTTTCAAGTATATAATAAATTATTATGGGCCCCATGCTGTATAACAGATCTCCAGAACTTATTCACATTGTCTGATACTTTGTACCTTTTGATTAACATCTCCCCATTCTCTCTGTCAACTCTCCAGCTTCTGGCAGTCACCATTCTACTGTCTTCCTCTGTATCTGATTTAATCTTAATAAACCACCCCAAGACCATACTTCCAGGGTACTGAAGTAAGTACTCAGTCACTCTTACCGGTGGTTCTTCCAGAACAAAGTTAAGACTATGGACACAGCAACTGGCAGGGCACAAGTTGTGCTTATTCAGTGAGTAAATAAAGAACTCGCATTGTGTCAATCTGGTCTTTTCAGGCAGCTGGAATTCTCTATTCATACACTTGAAAATGGAATATTTAAGCCGTGAAGTGTAAGACAAACATCACCACACAGTAAGAGAAAACACACATAAAATATGGTTGAGTTATATATTTTATTATCAAAAGCAAAGAAGATGACCTTCTATAGCTCCACTTTTTAAGTGATTCATTATTTCAGTATTTCCATTTCACGCAAGTTACAAAGGAAATGTATTCGGAGGCAGTTTGGTGTCTGAATTAGTGCAGAGATTTTGGGAAGTCCCAAGTTCAAGCCACTATAGCAGCTATGGAACCATGGATAAATCAAGAAATCTCAGATTTAACATCTATAAAATGGCTCTAGCTTATAGGGTTATGCTAAAGGGCAATAGTACCACAGGAGTTGTAAATATAACGTGCCCTAATGATTTTAAATTACTTTTATCTGAAGCAGTTTAACAATTTTTGTTTTTGCCTTTTGACTAGTGGACTATTAAGGAAAAACAGGTAAACTCAAATTTGCTGGGGCAAAAGTTGACTAAAACAAGTATTATATTGTTGGTGAATTTCAATTCTGAGAAAGATAGGGTGTTTATTTTGTTTCTTATAAGAGAAAGAAGAGGTATTTTATTATAATGAGACAATAGAAATCAGTCTTATTTTTCAGTTTTTAGTATAACTGTGATATGAGTAGGTGTATAAGTGTGTATGGACATACAATACGTAATACCTCAGTTCACGAAAGCTTCTGTTCCAGAACAATTCAGTTGGAAAACAAAAGAATTTGGCAAAATTCTGTTTCTATTTCTGAACTCTGTTTTGGGTGACAAACTACTGCAGCCACCTTCCTCACACAAACACCAAAGTGGCCTTCTTCCCCAGAACCGTGGAACAAATGAAGTTTATGAACCGAGGCACCACCGTGTGTACACACGTACATATCACATAATAGGGCAAAGTTGTCATATATTACCAAATATAGCATCCTTACTCTGAAGGCAAAGGAAAAGTGGTGCTGTGTGGTAGGTGGCACCTTCTCAGAGAACGTTCTTTGCATTTATGTGTCCATCACAATGTGACAGAGGCAGAACAAAACCCCGACGCACTTATGCATAGCAAAGTAAAATACTTAAACACAGTGGGATTGGCCTCACTTTCAATTCAGACAAATAAAACCTCTTAATTATGATCTTGAAATACAATCTGAAAAGTGATCCCTATATAGGAAATGACATCCATTTTATGCTCTCTACGTTACTGAGAATTTATGGTGCAGTCACAGATTTTATCTTTCTTCCTCTGTTATCTACAACTACCTAGGAAATAGGCATACAGCAAACTGGAAAGCACACTGGATTAGAAGAAGTAAGACAATTTAAGACAAGACTACCCTTTCTTAAGGTTTGAGGACCTATTTATTTTTTAATCTCTCTGTGGGTCGATATTTACATGTATAAAGCCACAACATTACTGTGAGAATTAAGTGAGAAAATATATATGGACATGTTTTGAAAACAATGCAGCATTCTAGGAATGATAGGCTTTATTGTTTAAGTAAAACTTTAGATTTAGGAATTGGTATAATTTCTTCCCCTCTAAAAATTGTCTTTATTCTTTCTATAGTTTCTTACTTCTTTATAATTTCATATTTCTCTGTGGGCAGCTGACTGCTTTTATTGCATATGGCCTGGCAGAGCTGCTGACTCTCTACTTACCCAACATCCCTTAATATGTACGTTCAGTAGCTGTGCTACAGGTTTTGTTGAGTGTTACAGCAAGGCTTCCCTTACAGAGAAAAGGAGATGCACAGATCTTCTGTGCTAGGCCAGCCAAAGAGTAATTGAGGCGTAAAAGGCTAGAATGGCTGAGGAGAAAGATGATACTATCTAGTGCAAGAACAGAATTCTTA